CTTTCTAAACATTTCAGGTTTTTGACAAGCAATTAAAAAAAAGCCTTCGAAAAATTATCCCTCCCTCCCCCATTTCTCTGCCCTTTGTCCTTTTCTCATTTGCCCTGGAAAGTGGACGGGAGGGGATGAAAAAAACCACACACACACATACATTTTTGGCTTTTGAAAATTTTTTGCAAGGGGTAAAAACATAAGGGTTACACACACACAAGGCAGCTCTTCCTACTGCCCTTCTAGTGCCAGGGTAACCCAACACCCTGGCACACTTTAACCGTTAAATGGCCAGCGTTGCCAACGCCCATCATTGCATGGTGAGCCCAGCAGTGGGTGGGTGGGGGAGTTGGAATGGGATCAGTAAGGAAGACTCTTGGCTTTCGTTATTTAAGGGGCCCACCCTCGGCGTGGAGGAGAAGCCCCAGCCCTCGCGCCTCCCAACCACAGAATGCAAATAAATATTAAAATCTTGTGATTTTTTAAGTAAATCTCATGCTTTTGAGGCCTGACTCGTGACTTCTGAATGTTGGGGGGCAAGAGGGGCACCAAAGCTGATGGGCCCGCACGGCCTTCGTGCTATCTGGACAGAGGCACCTGTGTGGGACCCGGGGTGGGACGTGCCTCCCCACACTTGGGACAGACAAAGCTAAACATCTCATGGCTCCCCCTGGCAGTTCGTGGGGCGAATGCAGCTCCCGCGCTATGGCCACAGAGTCAAGGGAGGCCGTGTGGCCTAGTGGGTAAAGCACTGAACTGGGATGCAGCAGACTGGGGGGGATCTATGTCTGGCTCTGCCACTGGGTGACCTGGGGCCCCCAAGCCCCCGGCCCGGCACCGCACCGCCAGCCCGGCCCCCGAGGACCCGCACCGCTGGCCCCGCATGTCCCGATTTTCCCGGACATGTCCGGGAAAATCCGGACGTATGGTAACCCTAGACAGTGGGTGGTGGCTGTGGAGCGGGGCTCAGTCTAGTTCCTGTTGGGCCAGCACCCGCATTGCCTGCCGGCTGTGGGATTGGCACGCTGGGTCTACAGAGCCTGAGCTCTGCTCTGCCCCTAGATGGGTCCCTTCAGGGCAGGGCCATTGGCGAGGGGGATGGGGGTGTGACGCAAGCTGTGGGCTCTGGGGCAGTCGAGCTGGCCCTTTCCCCAGCGCTGGACTCCCCTCCGCACGGCCCAAAGCTCCCCAGGCCTGAATCCCGGCCCCACTGAGCCTGGCTCGGGGAGGGTTCCTGCAGCCTCACCGCCTCTCCGGTACAGCCAGTGGCCTTGGCACTTTGGGGCAAGGCAAATCCCTTTCCAGCCCCCACCCTTGGTGCAGGGGGCACAGGCCAGCCCAGGGCTCCGAGGAAGAGGAAAAAGGCGCGCCCTCCGCCCCTCTGGTTTAAACATCTCTCTGTCCCATCCCCCTCGCTCCATGGCCCCATGCACAGCTCTCCTCTTTCTGCATCTTTCCCTCCTGCTCTTTAGGCTCTAACTCCCTGGGGTACCCAGGTGCCAAGGAAACCCACACCCGACTGGGGAGCCATGGTTGGCATTTGGGCCCCAGGCTTCTGCATGGTTCTGGCTAACAAGCCCCCTGGGAGAGCAGCGCCGCCCCGCATGGGCCCTGGGGCCTCGGCAGGAGTTGCCACAGAGTGTCAGTGGCAAAGCTGCCAGTGGAGGCTTCTCCAGTGCCCTGCAGCGTGGGGGAACTGGGCTGAACTGGAGCCAGCGTCAAGGCTGTGGGAGGTAAGGGGCTGGGTTCCCCACTGTTGGGCCCTATGGAGGTGCTGGCTGAGGGTCCCTGTGCCCACGGCGTTGGAGGCCCTGGGGGCTGCTGGGAGCTCAGGGAGGGGTCTGTGTTCAGCTCCCGTCTCCCCACACACGGTTCTGATCCAGAATGGCCTGGGCGCGAGACCTTCCCCTGGCTGGTGCCGAATGGCCGGTGTTTGCTGGGGTGCTACGGACCCGGCAGCTGCTCACTGCCCCTGGGGGAGGTTCATCGCCGGGGCTGTGCTGCCAGCCCCAGAGACTGAGGCACTGGCTGAGTCACTGGGCTCCCATGGCCAGAGGAATCTCGGCCGGGCCTTGCACCACCCCAGGGCCCTAATCTCTGGTGAGGCCTTGCCCACCTCCCCAGCAAGGGGCCCAGCAGCCCTGATCACTCCCAGGACTAGAGTCACTTGTATTCCAGTCACTGAGTTCATCCCTGGGGTTGAGCTGTAGCCACCTCTGGGGTGGGGTGCAGGGGCTATTTATACAGGGATCCTTTGCCCAGCACTGAGATGCAGCCACCTCTGGGGTGGGACGGAGCAGCTGTTTAACAGCCACACAGCACAGTAGATTAGGACGAGTGAAAAATCCACATGTAGTTGCACTGCGCTGCACAGAGTGTGGGGAGCTGGGCCTGGCCCAGACACTACTGGGTCCTCCCACCCCACTCCCTGCAGCCCCTAGCACCACACTCGGGCCAGCAATGGCTGTGAGGGGAGAGCACTTCCTGCTGAGCCCCCAGCACAGCCTGTGGAACTGGGCTTTCTCTGAACACCCCCCCTCCAAATCCTGAGCCAGCCTGGCCCCCATAAGCTCCATCCATGCATAGGAAGGGGACTGGCACATGGAATCGCAAGCCCAATAGCAAGGATTTCTGATGACTCTGTATACTCGGGGGGTGGGGTGGAGAATTGCTAATCTAGTTCCTATTTTTAAGAAACGGAAAAAAATGTGGTCCAAGTATCTACAGGCCTTTTAATTTGACCTCAACTGTCTGCAAGGTCTTGGGACAAATTTTGAAAGAGAAAGTAATGAAGGACATAGCGGTAATGGTAATTGGGATGAAATACAACCTGGTTTTACAACGGTAGGTCCTGCCAGGCCAACCTGATCTGTTTCTCTGCGAAGATAACTGAGGTTTTAGACAAAGGAAATGCAGTAGATCGAATCCAGTGGTTCTCAAACTTTTTGTATTGGTGACCCCTTTCTAACACCAAGCCTCTGAGTGAGACCCCCACTTAAACATTAAAAAACACATTTTTGATATTTAACACTACGTTAAATACTAAATTTAAAACCTATTGCTTAAAATGAATTGACCTTTTCTCACTGTTTTTAAATTAAGACTAAAACACAGCGAGTGGCGGGGCTTGGGGCTGACAACCCTGTGTGTGCTCCCGACTGATAACCCTCAACATAGCCGGGCTCCGCCTGACAACCCCAGTACAAGGGTTGGGGCTCCTAGATGCTCAGGGCTCACAGCCCCGCTCCTGGTTGGGGTCAGGACTTGCAACCCCACATGGCAGTCGGACTCGGGGATGCAGCCCCGCTCCTGGCCAGGGTTAGGGTCGGGGCTCACAGCCCGGCGCAGGGGTCGGAGTCGGGACTCACAGCCGTGCGCCCAGGTTGGGGCTCGTAGCCCCGCAGCTCCACACAGGGGTCGGGGTTCATAGCCATGCGTCGTGATCAGGGCTCACAGCCTGGCGCAGGGGTCGGGGCTCGCAACTTGCAGCTGCATGCTGGGGTCAGGGCTCGTGACCCCCCACATAACCGGGTCGCAAACCCCCGAGGGGTAACGACACCCAGTTTGAGAACCAATGATCTAATCTACCTGGATGTCAGTGAGGCATTTGATACAATTCCACATGGGAAATTATTAGTTCAATTGGAGAAGATGGAGTTTAATATGAGAATTGAAAAGTGGATAAGGAACTGGTCAAAAGGATCTGCAGAAAAGGACCTGGGGGTTACAGTGGACGAGAAGCTGGATATGAGTCAGCAGTGTGCCTGTGTTGCCAAGAAGGCTAACATCATATTGGGCTGCATTCGTAGGAGCATTGCCAGCAGATCGAAGGAATTGATTATTCCCCTGTATTCAGCACTGGTGAGGCCACATTTGGAATATTGCGTCCAGTTTTGGGGCCCCCACTACAGAAAGGATGTGGACAAATTGGAGAGAGTCCAGCGAAGGGCAATGAAAATGATTAGGGAGCTGGGGCACATGACTTATGGAGAGAGACTGAGGGAACTGTGGGTATTTAGTCTGCAGAAGAGAAGAGTGAGGGGGGATTTGATAGCAGCCTTCAACTACCTGAGTTGGGGTTCCAAAGAGGATGGAGCTCAGCTGTTCTCAGTGGTGGCAGATGACAGAACAAGGAGTAATGGTCTCACGTTGCAGTGAGGGAGGTCTAGGTTGGATATTAGGAACCAATATTTCATTAGGAGGGTGGTGAAGCACTGGAATGGGTTACCAAGGGAGGTGGTGGAATCTCCACCCTTATTGGTTTTTAGGGCCTAGCTTGACAAAGCCCTGGCTGGGATGATTTAGTTGGGGTTGATCCTGCTTTGAGCAGGGGGTTGGACTAGATGACCTCCTAGGGTCTCTTCCAACCCTAATCTGCTATGATTCTATGAAAGGGGAGACTGCAACAGGTCATAATGAAAGGTGAACTCTCAGGCTAAAGGGAGTTTACTGGCGAGTTCCTCAGGGATCAGTCTCAGGATCAATCTCATTTAACATTTTTATTACTGACCTTGGCACAAAAAGTGGGAGAGTGCTAATAAAATTTGCAGATGACAGAAAGCTGGGAGGTATTGCCAATACCAAGAAGGACCAGAATATCACACAAGAAGAGCTGGATGACCTTGTAGGGTGACCAGATGTCCTGATTTTATAGGGTCAGTCCCGATTTTGGGATCTTTCTCTTACACAGGCTCCTATTACCCCTCACCCCCTGTCCCGATTTTTCACCCTTGCTATCTGGTCACCCTATGACCTTGTAAACTGGCGTAATAGAAATGGGATGAAATTGAATAGTGCAAAGTGCAAGGTCATGTGTTTAGGGACTAACAACAAGAATTTTAGCTATAAGCTGGGGACATATCGGTTGGAAGTGACAGAGGAGGAGAAAGACCTGGGTGTGTATTGGCTGATCACCGGATGACTATGAGCTCTCAATATGATGCGGCTGTGAAAAAGCTAATGCAGTCCTAGGATGCATCAGGCGAGGTATTTCCAGTAGCGACAGGGACATGTTGGTACCATTATACAAGGCACTGGTGAGACCTCACCTGGAACACTGCGAGCAGTTCTGGTCTCCCATGTTTAACAAAGATGAATTCAAACGGGAACAGGTGCACAGAAGGGTGAGTAGGATGATCCAAGGAATGGAAAACCGACCTTGTGAGAGGAGACTCAAAGAGCTTGGCTTGTGCAGCCTAACCACACGAAGGCTGAAGGGAGATCTGATTGCGCTCTAGGAATACATCAGAGGGATAAATACTGGGGAGGGGGAGGAGTTATTTAAATTAAGGGCCAATGTGGACCCAAGAACAAATGGATATAAACTGCCCATCAATGAGTTTAGGCTTGAATTAGATGAAGGTTTCTAACCATCAGAGGAGGGAAATTTTGGAGCAGCCTCCCACGGGGAGCCGTAGGGGCAAAAAACCTAATTGGCTTCAAGACTGAGCTTGAGACGTTGCTGGAGGAGGTGGGATGAGAAGTTTGCCTAAGATAACATGGAGCCGATCGGTGGGGTAACCATATTTCCAGAAGTAAAAATGGGATGTCCAGAGCTTAAAAAGGGGACTGTCCTGGCCAAAACGGGACAGATGGTCACCCCACTGATCTGCGACTGCTACCAGCAAATATCTCCAACGGCCAGAGGTGGGACACTAGATGGGGGGGGTTGGGGCTTTGACTTAGTACAGAGAATTCTTTCCCAGGGGTCTGGCCGCTGGGTCTTGCCCACGTGCTCAGAGTCTAACTTGCCAGATTTGAGGTTGGGAAGGAATTTCCCCCGAAGTCAGACTGGCAGGGACCCTGGTGGGGGGTCTGCAGCAGGGGGCCCAGGTCACTTGTGGCCTGCAACGTGCAAATGGTCCCTTCTGGCCTTACAATCTGTGACCCCATTTAGCCTGTGTGTGCTGAGCTCAGCCAGCAGGGGGTGCTAGTCATGCTGCTCTTTGTCCCATGGAGCCTCCCTCAAGATGCCAGGCCCAGAGCCCACCAACCCCCCTTTCTAATCTGTCCCTGCCAACCCAGACTCCCTTCCCCCCAGACCTGCCCCCGGCCCTGGGGGTCTGCCCAGGCTCTCCCTGCTAGAGATCATCCTCAGGGGGCAGATCTGCTGGCATTAGGGCACCTCCCCCTGGGGGAGCATTACCAAGGGAACACCCAGTGCCAGAGAACCTGGTTCTAGCTTCCGCTCTGCCCCAGGGCCCTGATGTTGGCATCAGTGCTGGGAAGGGTGTATAACAATGGGGTGGGAACCAGGGGAGATTCTCAGCAGGACCAGGCAGTACCTCACTGTATTCCCCTCACCCCAGGTGGGACCTGCTGTCCGTGGCACCATCCCCCTCTCGTGGCACCGCAGGGCCATGTCTGCCCAGGTAGGAGAAGTGCGGGGTCAAGATGCTGGGGGAAACCAGGGTGGGCAGAAATCCCGGGTAGGGCACCAGGGTGTGAGGGCACAGGGTGGGTATTGGGGTGGGGGCAGTGGGTATAGAGGTACTGGGTTAGGTGGAGGCAACAGGGGGCAGAGTCATGGGAGAGGGGGTTAGGTGGACAGTGGAGTGCAGTGTCCGAGTGGGGTGGGGGCTGGGGCGGGTCATTGTGGCTGGAGGGGCAGGGACACAGGGTGGGGCGGGGGCACAGAACATGATCACAGGGGCTGGGGGCAGGGCTGCAGAGTGGGGAGGGGACACAGGACAGGGTCACAGGGGCTGGGGGCAGGATCGCAGGGTGGGGAGGGGGCACAGGACAGGGTCACAGGGGCTGAGGGGCAGGATCGCAGGGGGCACAGGACGAGGTCTCAGGGGCTGAGGGGCAGGGTGACCCCCACTTAAACATTAAAAAACACATTTTTGATATTTAACACTACGTTAAATACTAAATTTAAAACCTATTGCTTAAAATGAATTGACCTTTTCTCACTGTTTTTAAATTAAGACTAAAACACAGCGAGTGGCGGGGCTTGGGGCTGACAACCCTGTGTGTGCTCCCGACTGATAACCCTCAACATAGCCGGGCTCCGCCTGACAACCCCAGTACAAGGGTTGGGGCTCCTAGATGCTCAGGGCTCACAGCCCCGCTCCTGGTTGGGGTCAGGACTCGCAACCCCACATGGCAGTCGGACTCGGGGATGCAGCCCCGCTCCTGGCCAGGGTTAGGGTCGGGGCTCACAGCCCGGCGCAGGGGTCGGAGTTGGGACTCACAGCCGTGCGCCCAGGTTGGGGCTCGTAGCCACGCAGCTCCACACAGGGGTCGGGGTTCATAGCCATGCGTC